AAAGTTACCACTAATCTATTGACTGGGGGCTTGGAGGTCAATACATTTCAGTGGTTGGCAGATGAGCTGGGCCTAAAAGGCAAGATTTTAGCTTTCTGAACAGGTTTTTTTTTTTTACATTATTCCATTAATTTGTGGATTATTATTATTTTTTTACTGAAGATGAGGGTGCAAAATAGAAGTGTCTCAATATAATGTCTCAGTATTTTTGTGTGTTGCTCTGACTGATTATAGACCACAATGATCCTAAAGTTGAACTTTGTCCTGGTTTCAGAAAATGTTCAGAAATTAACAGTAAGATGGGATAGGAATTCATTGCTGTGACTTTCTTGTCTGATTCTATATAGTCCCCTTATTTTAGTCTAAAATATGTACATTAATATCATACCTTTCCCCCGGGAGTTCAAGCTTTAGATCAGAGGTGGGCAACTATGGCCTTTTTATGGCCTGTGAACTTCAACTCCCAGAATTCCTGAGACAGCCATGTTGTCCACAGATCATAAAGGGTTTATAGTTGCCCACCTCTGCTCTAAATAACACTCTTGCCCTCCAATTAATCTCCAAAACAACCTTGTAGGGTAAATTGGCTGAAAGCTACCAGGTGAAAGATACCAAACTCACTAGTGAGTTTTCATGATAGGGTGGACTTGAACTAAATCTCTCCAATCCTAGTCCATTTTGTGGTCCAGCTTCAGGAACAAGGATGAATGCCAGAGCACTTGACACAATGTTCTCGCAGGAGTGCTGAATCCAGCTGCATGCCAAACTTTGAAGATCCTGGATCAAGCACACACTAGCTTAGTTGGTTTTCTTTATTCCCTTTCTGATTTTATCCTATCACGAAGACTGCAAGTAATTCAATGATCGTTGAGTAATTCTACAAAAAGAAGGCAATAAATTATCCAGAGCAGGGGTCTCCAACCTTGGCAACTTTAAGACTTGTGGACTTCAACTCCCAGAATTCCTCAGCCAAAGCTGGCTGAGGAATTCTGGGAGTTGAAGTCCACAAGTCTTAAAGTTGCTGTTGTGCTGTTGGAATCTGATTCTGAGTGGGAGGTCAAGCAGCTGACAAGGAGTGGGAGTGTGGCTCTGGTGGCTGTGGAAGAAACTGGGAATGGCACAGTCCGGCTGGGCATTCAGAGGAAGACCCAGGGCCACCCACTCTTCATCCTAGAGCATGCAGAGAGGAAAGGAGAAGGGAGCAACGTGGGTTACGGGGGAGAAAAGGGCCCACAGAACTGGTTGTTAAAATTTTTGAATCCCACCTCTGGATACTTACCTCTGTTTTTCAGTTCTTGTTTCATGAATATTGACTTGAGATTAGCTCTAAGAAGCTTGACATTCCATTTATAAGCAATTCTCGACTTACAACACTTTTATTTAGTGACAGTTCAAAGTTACAACATCACTGAAAAAGGTGACTTATGATGATGATCATTTTACACACTTATGACCACGTGGCCAAAATTTGCTGCTTGGCAACGGGTTTCATATTTATGACAGTTGCCATGTCCCCAGATCACGTGAACAACTTTTGTGATGGTCTGACAAGCAAAGTCGATGGGGAAACCAGAATCTCACTTAACAACCGGGTTATTAACAACTGCAGCAATTCACTTAACAACTGTGGCAAGAAAAGCCGTAAAATGGGACAAAACTCTCTTAACAGATATCTCGCTTAGCAACATAAAATTTGGGCTCAGTTATGGTTATAGGTGGAGGACTGTCTATCTGTAATCGTAAAAAGGCTTGACCCACATAGTGGGAGACCCAAAAAAGAAAAGGACTTGATAAATATGGAAAAAACAAAAATACAATAGGTAGGGTAGGAAACTTTATCCTGTATCTACAGTATAGGAAACCAAGGCCAAAGCCAGAATGCTACATTCCAGGAGGGCTTAGTTGACAATAGATTGGCAGATGAAAAAAAAGGCCAACAACAGACAGGCAGATAGATTATGGACAATCTGAGATTCCATATTAGAATAGAATAACTGAGTTGGAACGGCCCTTGGTGGTCTTCTATCTAGTCCAACCCCCTGCCTAGGCAGGAAATCCTACACCCTTCAGACAAATGGTTGTCCAACATCTTTTTTAAAACTTCCAGTGTTGGAGCATTCACAACTTCTGGAGGCAAGTTGTTCCACTGATTAATTGTTCCAACTGTCAGGAAGTTTCTCCTTAGCTCTAAGTTGCTTCTCTCCTTGATTAGTTTCCACCCATTGCTTCTTGTCCTGCTTTGGAGAATAGCTTGACACCGTCTTCTTTGTGGCATCCCCTGAGATATTGGAACACTGCTATCATGTCACCTCTAGCCCTTCTTTTCATTAAACTAGACATACCCAGTTCCTGCAACTGTTCTTCATATGTTTTATCCTCCAGTCCCCATATCATCTTTGTTGCTCTTCTCTGCACTCTTTCTAGAGTATCAACATCTCTTTTACATCGTAGCGACCAAAACAATGCAGTATTCCAAGTGTGGCCTTATTATAAAGTGGTATTAACACTTCAAGTGATATTGATTCTATCCCTCTGTTTATGCAGCCTAGAACTTAATGCTAGTTGCTATAGTGTATATGTGTGTATGTGTTTGTGTGTGTGTGTGTGTACGTATATACACACACACACACACAAGAAATACCTAACTTGACAATGTATAGTTTATAAGTTGCTCATTTTTACCACTCGAAAAATACACTGTTATTTCTGTAGCAAGAAGGTGCTTGCAGTATTCCCAAGAAATCCACTGGATCTGAGAGAACTAAATCTGGGCAAGTTACTCCTCATCTGCCAGGTGTAAAGAATCAGGACCATACATTAAACTCCGGCTAAGTTGATTTGCTGCTCATGCCTATACACAAGATTTTATTTATTTGATTTGTCAATCGCTTACAAGATAACAGGTATAAGTATAAACATAGTTATGAATACATGAAATGGATACATAAAACGTAAAAGAAAAATAGGATTCTGGTCAAATAATGGTCAGCACTAAATTGGCACGAGATCAGAATTAACAGAATTTGGGTGTGGGCGGGCTGGATTTGGATCCCTGTTGAAAAGTAACAACTCCAGGCTAATTCCTCTCTTGACTCTAATTCCCAGGCTCTGCCTCTTCTCTTTGAACAATGCTTAGAACAATCAGCCCTTCAAAGTAGACCAGTCAAGAAAGAGACCCCCAGAGATTCCAGGAATGCTATGCTATGGGACATCTTAATTTTAAAAGATCATCCAAAACCTTCAATTCCCCCTTTTAAGGTCAAGAAGGTCAAGATATGTCTTTTTTTAAAATCTTTTTATCATGCTGTCTACATTCCTGGGGTCGAATCATGGTTTTACTAGTCTTACTCCTCTTTTCGATGTCATAGCTAAAGTCCTCTGTAAGCAGGGGTGTGTCAGGCTTTCGGTGAATTCTTCAAAGCCCGACACTTTGATGGTAGCAGTTTGGCATGCCACCGCCTCGATACTCACAAGCTGTCCCGATGTTCGCATGTTGCTCCGAGGTGTTGCCACCGCTGCCCCAATGCTCGCAAGCTGCCCTGAGTCTGGCATGTCTGTTTCGGCTTCAAACGGGTGAAGAATGGCGATGCCATTTTCAGCCCACGCTGCAGCTGCACAAAGCCGCTTGGATGGGAACTCAGCTGTTTGGCAGTCCTGGTTTGACAGCCATCAGCTGTTCCATGTAAAGAAGGCTGTAAAGATCGGAGTGATAGAAGAACAGGAGATAGAGTGGGGTTAGTATTACACTGGGGTTAGCATGGTGTGGTCTGGGTGTTGGGTGATGTAAATAGTGAGTTTGTTTAGGCATAAGTAGTTACGGGGTGGAGGCATGGATGGAGATGGGCAGAGGTAGGTTAGAGGGGTGAGGTTACTAAACAGCTATATTAAGCGCTGAAAGGCAGTAGCTTTCAGTGCTAGCTTTGCTTGGAATTGTTCCAGTGTTGCCTTTGGTACTATTGTGAGAGAAACTGAAGAATTAAACCCTGTTTACAAATATTAAATGTGAGTACCGTGGTTGGTCAGTGTAAATTCTCAATTGCCCAGCAGGGCTGACAGGGTGTCAAACTCAAGGCCCACAGGCCAGATCCAGCCTGCAGAGTGTTTAGATCTGGAAACACCCTGGAAACAGTGAAGGACCGGCCAGCAATGCCTCTGCTAGTGAAAATGGAGCTCAGGAGGGCTGTGTGCAGCTCTCCTGAACTTCATTTTTGCTGGCAAAGGGTTGCAGGAAGCCGTTGCAGCCAAAAATGGAGCTTGGGAGCCTGTTTTTGCTGGCAGAGTGCTCAAGCCACCACAGGCGCCCCCGACATGAATGACATCAGGCTGGCCCACCCCAGTCCCCTGGAGGTCAAACACAACCCTGATGCGGCCTTCAATGAAATCAAGTTTGACACTCTTGCTCTATAGTATGGATTCAAAATCATGTTAAGTTGATAAATCATATCCAATTCAAATTAAAGAACGTATGCACGAATTGATACAAATCAGTCCAAATCTATCACAGTCCAAATTGTCCACAATGTTCTAGATATGAATCAACTCTTGCCTCAGCCCACTTTAAGGAGTGTCATTGGTTGAAGTTTTTCTTGGTGAGAGGAGAAATAAACCAGAGGAATCCATCAATTGCTTTCCTTAATGTCTGCATTCAACTTGTAAAGACAGTTCCATTTGCTGGCCTCATTGCTGAGGCAGGATAGGGACAGGTCATCAAGGCAGCTCAAAGATCAGGAATTTTTTTAATGCAGCCTTGAGCCCTAACTAATGTATCCAAAGGGCAATGTCTTGATTGCATATAATGGCTAAAGATTTGAGATATGCTGTTCGTAGAAGAGGGTAAGCAAGGCCTAGAAACTTGCAGGTCTATTAGAAGTAATGAGCAAAGCCAAACTTTATACAAGAAATGCACTCCATTTATTCTGGAACTCAAGGCAATAACCAGTTACAATGGCATACTTTTTGATAGCATCCCTTTGGTACAATCTTCTTGAATAAGCTCTTGCCTACTCTTGTGTTGTTCCATCATCCAACAGAGCTCTCTCAAGTAGTGTTTCGAAAGGTTTTTGACAATCAAGCTTTGTTTTTGAATAGCCAACAATCAGGTAGACATAGGGGTTCCCACTGCTGTCTATGGCATCAAGAAAATGAAGACTGAGAAAGAGAATTGGGATATGTATTTTTGGAACCCAACGGGCTATGATTTCAATAATCCTCACTGAAGCAGCAAAGAGAAGAAACAGAAGAACGGTGGCCACTATAGTGATGTCAAGTCTTCTCAGAGGAGCTTCCTGGGATGCAGGCAGCATTCTTGTGAAAATAAGACATGTAGAAAAGACCATGATTGGAAGAAAAATGAGGAGGTTGATTATCACTCTGGCCATTTTTGTAGGCTCACAATGCTTATTCGCTTCCTGGAGTGACGTATCAATCTCTAGATTGCAAGTATAATGTAATGTGATGGCTAGCAGGCCAGATAAGCCCCAAAAAATGACACTCACAATTTCTGAGAAATGCTTGGGCCGACGAAGTTGATACCAGGCTGGGAAAAAAATCATGACATACCTTTCCGCAGCAATAGCTGTTAGCACATAGGTCTTGGCATTGAACCCAAATGCATGTGCCAGATCCATTAAATGTAATGTATATAGACTGATAGGAACAGCTTTCAGAAAGAAAACAAAAACAATAACATAGTAGATGAGTACAACAAAATCAGCCAGTACCAAATTTAGGAAATACACAGTAAAGTTAGTTTTCTTGACAGAGCGGCAGAGAAGGCAGAAGATAATTGCATTCCCAAGTAATCCTAAAATGCAGATTGGAATGGAAACTATCGTAATTGATTTTTGCAAAGTGTATCCAGTTTCCAGTTCTGCCCCAGCATAGTTATGTTTTCCAATAGTATGGAAAGACAAAGAGTATGTTTCTGCCATCTTGCAGCTATCAGCTTGTGATCCTTTTCAATCTGCCAAAATCAAACACAAAAAGTATTAGTAAGATGATAGGAAAACTTAAGTGAATCAGCTTTTCAGATAGGAATGCTTGTTTGATTGTACCCACAAGATTGGGTAGAAAAATCTAACTTGAGCATCATCTTCCTCTGGCTGAATGTTTTGCACTGGATCATATGTCAGGGATCTTCATTTAGAAGGCACACTTTTTGATGCTTACAAAAAGTGGTCTGAGCTTTACAATTTAGCAGTAAGATATACCATAGATCAGGGCTGTCAAACTCGCACCTCACGGGCCAGATGCATCACGTGC